AATGGCATACTTGATTCTGCGAGATCCACATCGTGCGCACCGCCATTTACTGCAACTCAGCAGCAATACAAACCTGAGGGGCCACTCATTAAAACTCGCAGAACAATACGCTCGTTTGGAGTGCCGCAGAAATTTCTTTTCCATTCGTATCTGTCACCCGTGGAATGCTCAGCCAGAATCAGTCGTCTCTGCACCGACACTAACAATATTTAAAAGACGGTTGGACGATGCACTCATCCACTTACGCTTTGTTACTTAACACTACGTCTCCATCCTACACCTGGAATATACTATGGCATTATTTGTTGTTATTTGTGGGTGCTGTGAATCTAAGCGGATTGCAGGACTACAGCGGAGCCAATGATAAGTCCTCATTTTCATATTTAAATTATTAACTATTTTACTATCCTTATCATCATTATTGTTATGTTGATATCCCCACCAACTATCCAACGGGACTTGTAAAGCACCGCTTCTTAACTCGTATAAATTCATTGTTCATTGAGGTGGGAAGTACGTTTAATGCGGGCTTTGGTGACCTCTTTTCAGGTTGCACCTGGTCCTTGACTTGGTTTGCGGCTGAGCTGGATGGAACGGACTTTAGAACGATTCGTATTTCGCTGCTCAATCGGAAGGGTGGGCGTTAGCGATGTTGCTTAAGTCGATACCTTAGATAAGAGGATGTGGGCGGTTGGACTAGGCATGCTTCTATCGGTCGCCGCAATGACCGGGTTCGTGGTTCCCATGGATTTTAGTATTGTGTGTCCGTGTGATCGCCTGGTCGTTTTCCTTGGTTTCGGGGTGGCATTTGGCGGAGATGGCGGAGGTGTAAAAGGTGAAATCGTCGCCTTGAGCGAAGCAAGTATGGCTTTAAAACTATATTCACTCCGAGACTAGGCTGTCTTACCTTCTTGTTGACGCTAGTACGCATTTTACTAGTGGGTCATTCGTGCAATTCGAACAGCACCAAATTGAACTCGTCGTATTGTAATTCTTTATATCGATGCTACAGACCTGGATGCACTCCGAATGGTAACAGCCAATGCAGTTTGTACAAGTCAAGCCTGCCTTTACTACCTTAGCACAACTTTGCTTAGCACAAATATATCATTGCGAGTTATCAGTGTTGTGGCCATGACGGTAGAATGGTTACTGCTGGTTTTGCAGTTACTTGCCGCGTCGTCGTCGGCTAGCGTTTGGACGCCGATCGTCAGGTTAAGCTCAAAGGACTGGCTCATCCTCCATTTTGTTAGATTACTGTGGAAACAACCCAAGATGGCAGACACAGACGGCGGTTGTACTAATCTATGAGATCGCGGAAATTGGGCAGCGAATATCCACTAACTTTACACAGATGGTTAAATAAACCATAAGAAAAATGTTGGTGCCCAATGCACACAGAAAATGCGTGTATGACACATTAATCCGAAAGCAAATGTAGCATCTCGCACGGCAGTGCGAAAATCCGCGGCGTCCGTGGGCATCTTGAACGCTTAATGAGAAAGCGCTCACAGCTGACGATACTAAGAGCTCAGGTAACAAAGATACACAGCAAAATCACCATATTCGGTACAGATTCCTAATGGCGATATTTCTGCACGGAACTATAAAATTCAAAGGGCCCAATGACTTCCTAGTTCCATGAAGCCAACACAAAATACTATCTGCTCCCTTCGATAAAGTGGTTTCTTTTTCTATATCTTCCTATTGTTCGCCAGGCGGACATTGTTATACTAATGCATATGTGAAGGGGAAGGAAGGCCTAGTTGTTTGCGAGATCGTGAATTTGTCAAATGCTACCACGTATTCCCTTAATCAATTTGTTATAGTAAGAAATTCATCACATCTGAATTTAATCAGCCAGACAGTGCCTGCCAGAAAATGCACCGTACGGCTATTATATCCTTTCAGGAGTGGTCAGCAGTGCGCGTGCCGTCGGACTGTCGTAGGACTCGAACCTGCTACTCGACTGTTGCAAGTCTGTGGTTGAGACCAATGAACTACGAGGGGACGGCAACGACCATAGTGACTCAGTTGTTAGATGTGCTGGTTTTCTACCTGTACTATACACCTCCCCTACTGTTCGTCTGAAATCCATTCATTTATGACAGCGCTTACCGTTTCAACTCAGCATCAAATCTTATCGATGCCTCAAACCACTCATTACCATCCATCCGTGTTTCTTGGATTTGATATCACATTCAATAAGGCAAATTTCACTAATACTCGCTCAACACGAAACCAACCGAGTCTTCACAAAGCACACAACGAGAGTACGAATCCCCGTACTTACGACTGTACGGACAGGACACAAAACTTAGAGTCAGCAAGCGAGGTAATGCAGGCGCTTATACTGAGTGAACAAGCTCTTCCTATAGACGCGACAGCTGTACATCTCCATATGGACGACAATGCAATACATGCAATGGGTAACTGCAAGGGGAAAGGCGAGTTGCAACGAAACAAATGTGCGAAGGCGAGAGGGAACAGACGACAAATAGGTGTGACAGCTGACGCAAAGGCACTTTTGGCTGCCCAGAGAGATATTGTAATATCCAGTTATTGGTTCATCTGGTAATTTTGCCGTTTACATCTGGCATTTAACATTCATCTGTATTAAAAATGCCGCCCTTTGTCACAGGTCGCCTGAAGCGGACAGCCCTCTTGCTAAGGTATCCGTCGAACTTCATTAACCTCATTATATCTGTCCATCTGAATGGCCAGATTTAAAAGCCGTAACGGACGGTTAAACGGACGACTGCGCTGTAGACTCAGGGCCTCAGGGTAAAAGTGGTGACACGCGGGCGTCATAGGTGGAGGAGGTAAGCATAAGCATTTCGAAAAGTAGCCATACGGTTAGTGACCGCAACTACTATTCTACAAACACTGTTATACCTCCATAGGTAATTAAATTACCGAACAACTTCAAGCTTCTCACCACGACGGGTCGATGCAGAGGATGTTTCAGAGCTAATTTTTGAGGGAGACTTTGTATTCTGTGGCTGCAAACCATAACCCGAACCACTGACATGTAGCGCTACTTGGATCGTTAGTAGTTTAATCACAAATGCAGTACTGGCTAAGACCGCAGAAGAAAGCCGGAAGAGAATTTGGCTTTGTTGCTTTAAACAGAATACCTTGTAGTGATTTGTCCATCTGTTCTTGGTAGAGCTATTCAGATCTGGTTTGACAAGTGGTGTCGAAGAGAACCGTCTAAAGAGTCAATCACCATATCGGTACAGGTTTATAGAAATATTAAAATAAACAACAGTGGATGAATAGAGCAAGCTCGTAGAATTTTCTTCGCAATAACCAAACAAACATCCTTTACTTGTTTTGGATCGTCAGTAATGAGCGCTTCTTCTGCTCAGTGTAGATCTATGGCGCGCAAATATATATCAAGACTGTAATTGAGAACACCGGAGCTATCGCGATTAAGCATTTAACTGTGAGAAAATACGACTAATCCTACATTGTCACACGCGTTTCCAGCTTGGTGAGGACTGGACGGTATACCAGGAACATGAATTCCCCTGCCGAACGTAAGCCAGTTCATAACATTAAGCTGAGCTGAGTACTTACTGAACTTAACTAAGTAGTTTTGATGTGGTCCTTGCAAGTTGAGCTGCGGTTGGTTGCACCTACCATGTCAGAGCCGGAGGAATGATAGGCCATCCGGTGCTTTTCTGAGCATATGTTGCCCGTCCGGTGGACTGTATTCACAGCTGACCTATTCAGAGACTATATGCTCACCAGGCGGTAGTGTCTTGGACGCACAAGATGCTTTTGTTTAAGTTAAATATCGCGTAGTTCATTGAGGAAAAAGCAGTTTCGCACCTGGTGGTTATTTGCTCTGGAGCAGACTGCGATTGTCTGAGTCACTCAAACTATCTAGGTAACCTTACGGATTATTTCTTCCGAATACTTATGAAGCTTCGTACTGCGCTCCAAAGTGTCGGGTTAATTTTAACACGACAGTTTCCCCTTAATCCGCTGTAAGTTATTGTCACTCATCAAGAATCAAAATATAACCTATCTTTATCCGAAGTAACTATTTGTAAAATCTGAGCTATGAATATCCTCAAAGTATTAATTCTCGATAAACCCTGCGCAGCTTAAATCGCAATAGTGTTCCCGGATCCCATAACACAAGTCGAACAAAAAGCCATCATCAAGTATCCCATGACTAAGTTTGCAAGTCAACTTCTCTCTTAACTGTCCACCGACGATGAGCATGTTGCTGACCTTACTGGTTTAACCTAATTATCAAAGACCGCAATATGTGGAGACCGACACCTTTCATGTAACAGATATGCATGCCAGCAAGTCAGGTGATTGCTCCGTAACCAATGGAAAGGTCGGTAGCGATAGTCACATAACGCAGTGGCGTACTCCAGTATTTTCATACGATAAATGTCCATCTATGTTGCTAATCAAGTCGTGTATTAGTTGTTTCGAATTTTTGGAACAGAGAAGGTTAGTAAAATAGTAATATGAACAAAGGGATCCGGTCTTTTGCTATTTATAGAGGCATTATTCTGTGGAGGGGACCGGTGAGGTTGTCGCGAGAGATACAGTTACTGCGATTCAAAAAAGTTCCTCATTTTGCTTGCATTTTAGTATGGTTCCTCCGTACATAACGTATTCTTGTCCAAATTTTCCTCTTCCTACGCTTACTTATGTCTGTTTTAGTTCGTCTTCTGCTCACTGACCTAATGTGCAGACTTTGGTACCGCTCGGTTCATCCGTCCACATTCTGCTATAGCTTAACCATCATAATTCTGTGTTCGACCCCATTCGTCCCCTGTTATCGGCACTCGACAGGTGCCCCACTGAGGATTGTTATTCAACGCCATATACACAAATGTTGTGGTAGATGTACTACTGTTTGGGCCATTCGATCTAGGTTGTAGTGTAGGACTTGTACATATCAGCCAACAACCAGCCAACGATTTGAATCGCGTGATTTAGATGCCTAACCGGGACAGCCCGCAAGATGCGACCTTGAGGAGCCAATCGTCGTCAATTTGTTGGCCAAGTTACTAGTTCAAGGTCGCATGTAAACCAACCAGCCTATAGCTAGATATCTGGTTGGACGCGTCGCTTAAGTGCATGCCTGATGGTGGAAGTCTGATGTGTTAGGCTTGGGCGTTGGACTTGGTGGATGTATAATGAACGGCACCCAGTTGATTGAAAGAGGATTTCAAATTCATTCAGCCAAAATGAAGTCAGATGCAGCTGATGGACTGGAGGAAGGTAACACATCGCTAAATGCAGATCAAATACTGCAACAAATTGTACATCCATACGGATTATGGCAGTGGTCCATTGCCCTGCTACTGATGTTCAGCTGCAGTTCTTTGATGACATTCCCTGTCTATGCGAATTCTGCATCCCCGCACCGCTGTCGCATGGAAGAACGAGTAGAAGACTATATCGTGCGGCAAAATTTCTCTTTTGAATACGTTGCATCACGAATAGGTCACTGGGGCAATTCCTCACCTCACTGGACTACACACCTGCCCGGATGCCATCGTTATAAAGCTGAATGGGATACCGTGGATCTGGAAACTATATTCTTTTCGGAGAAAAAGCACTTTCAAAATTTCACCCCACTGGAAAACTGTGGTCTGGGTTATGTTCATGAAGATAATCCACGCTATTACCCGGGGAGCGCGTCAGAGAGCTTTGAAACCGTTTGCGATCGCTCATGGCTTGTGCCATTGGGAACTTCTATCTACATGGTCGGCGCCGCCGTCGGAAATATAGTCGCTGGTTGGTGCGCTGGCCATTTTGGTAGACGGAAGGCACTTATATTCTGCTCAGTCATTGAGGTTGTGAGCGGCATTTGGACATCCCTGTCGCCTAATTACACAAGCTACATTATAGCCAGGGGAGTTATGGGAGCTGCGTCTACTGGGAAGCTTAATATCGCCGGCATTTTGGTTCTGGAGTTGACAGTTGCTCGGTACAGATCTACTTTTCGTTCTCTGCTATCATTTGGAGTATCCTGTATGTACCGGGCGATGATGGTTGTTCTTGCCTATTATATAACAGAGTGGAAATGGCTGAATCTAGCGATAATGAGCCCAAACGTACTGAGTATCTTTTACCTGTTTGTTGTGCCTGAATCTCCAAGATGGCTTTTTTCACAAAAACAATTCACGTATGGTGTCCGTGTTTTCAGAACGGCCTACCGTTGGAATCACCTCAATCGACCCAAGGACAAGTGGGCTCAATTCAGACGGCTGTCGCTCGTAGCCTCCAGAGAGGAGCAAAATTGCAAAGCAATTACCACTTCAAATGAGGCAAAACCTTGCTCCTGTACTACTGTGCTACATTTATTGAGAAACCGGCAGATGCTCAAAACCGTTATATTGTCTATTTCCATGATGACCGGAATGTCCATGGTTTTCTCCGGATTACTATTCTATGCTCGAGCTGTGCGGCACTACGTGTATCTAGTCGGATTACTAAACGCCGTTGTCGCTTTTCCTGGTGTTGTACTATTTTTCTTGCTATACCGATTAGTGCGGCATCGAAAAAACCCATTAATGTACCTTATTGGACTCACAGCTCTTGTACTGGGGTCGAGCGCCTTGTATGTGATGGTGTGGCAGCCAACCACCGATCTCGTCCTCATGGTTTTCTCAAATGTTGCCCTATTTCTAATGCAAGCCGCTCTAAATATGAGTGTTCTCTACATTCCAGAACTCTTCTCTTCAGAGTTTCGAACCCAAGGATTTGGACTCATCCTTTGTTTTTCCAAACTGGGTGGAATTACCTGCAGCTTTGTGAACATTTTGGATTATCGGATTCTGCACGGGACCCCGTTGCTAGTGTATGCGTGTGTGATGTTTTTGGCTTTGATTAGTACCGCTTTCCTTCCGGACACCAGTGGTGAAAATTTACCAGATAACTGATTGTTTTTGTAAATGTGCATCGGATGGGCAATTTCACATTTGAAGCTACAGTGAGTGACATACTTCTGCTCCTTTTTCATCTAAAGAATGTATGACTTTCCCTCATGAGTTTATGAGATACAGCCTGAAAGGGCTGATGCAATACTTTCGGATTGCCCCTAATACACGTAACCACTAGTTTTGATGAAAGTGTGAATAATAATTGCTCCTGTACTTCTGCTACAGCAAATCAGCTTTTGGTAATTTCGTTATGACAGATTTACATGGGAGTAGTAGGGGTAGTTGAAAGTTATAAGTAGCATTTCATCACATATAGACTCAACCAGACAGCCATCACACACCCAGAAAAGTAGTGTACAGCTGTTTCATTCTTTCGGGAACCATCAGTGGTGCGCATTCCATCTGTTCCCTGTGGGGTTGGAACCGGCCAACCGACAGTTACCAGTCCGTGGTGAAGACCATTGGGTTACGAAGGACAACAACGATCGACGTGACTAAGTTACTAGATGTGATATAGCGAACCTCACTGTCCAATAACTTACACGTCACTACCATGCAGTACTTGTCACCTCAGTCGTTGCTGTCCTTCGTAGCCCAGTGGTCTTTACCACGGACTGGTAACTATCGGGTTGCGGGTTCCAGCCCCACAGGGGCCAGCTGGTATGCACGCAGCTGACGATTCCTGAAGGATGAAACAGTTGTACAATGCTGTTCCGAAAGTGCGATTGCTGTCTGACTGAGTCGAGATGTGACGAACTACTACTTATATAAGCTTTAAAAGCTAATGCATGTAGCTTTGTTATCATCGATGTCCAATCAACTTGATGCAGCACACTTTCGACTACTGCCAAACATGAGGGAACCACAGACTAATCGGCTTGTATACTGCAGTAGTTAGCGGTCTTTCTGTGGCACGTCTACCTATTCGATGGCTTAGACCAACTTCGTTCGAATTGGTTTGGTTTTCGAAATTTACCGGGCAAACGCGGAAATGGATATCGTAAGTTGCGCAAGTTATGGCGTTCTGGACAGCTTGTCAGGGCAACTGAAAGGATGACTGGCGTCGAGATCATCTACGACGAGAAACTTCATAGAGGCACAGCGTTAGACCAGATGCAATACCACGAGGAATTCTCAGAACTTTCCGACTTCACGCTGTCGGTGGTTTAGTATTCAGCTGCAGAGGATGTATCAGACCTAAAGCATTGGTGGGTTTGAGCCCCTCTTGCTCACTCTGGCGCTTAACTATCACACCGCCTCCGCAATTCAAGACAACCGAAAATTTGCTGCCGAATGGCTTGTTACTTCCCCATAGCCAATTTCGCCTTTACTTCTGAACATTATTTTACTGCAAAGACTAGTAGCCATCGCGACACTTTCTTCGATTCATTCTGCTGGCTATGTTTTCTCCTCAAGTCACCAGGAGCTGTAGTTAACTTACAACGTGTACTCCAGATTCGGCCATTTCTGATTGCTATCTTTGACGAATCTGACATCGTAATTCAAAAATAAGCGGTGAATGTACTGCTGATTTAAACAATGCTTGACTTACCTTCTTGATGAGTGGCCGCGATGAAACAGAGGACATCCCTTCGGAGGTTCTTCCAGTGCATTGCTGAAGTAAACAAAATATGTGTTGAGCTACTGGTAAAGTTGTACGAGGCTTAGCTCTTGCATTCGTTCCGTATTTGTTTCCCCATTGTTGAATCGAGTGTGCTGTGGGTGAGTTAGTCGACGCTGAACCAGTATTTTGTGAGAATCAAGTTTCTGGAAAGCTGGAAACATGCATATAGCGTGAACCACCGACCAGGACCTATAGATGCGCTCACGCATAGTTTTACTGTCATTTAGACAACAAAGTGCATTTCTGCGCACTTCAGAAGGTCTCATGTCAAACGCTAATCATACAACGCGAAGGGACCTCTTGGTATTTTTTTAATGCACTGTGGCACAAATCACCGCGAGAAGCTGAATAAACGATTCCACCGGAAAAACTAGTATAGTGCAGTAGCGCCCTGACTCAGTACTGAGGGTATACCGATTCGTTTGAATGCAGTCCTTAAAGCATGATGCACAAAATACATAGGTTATGATATCCGACCAGATCAGATTTACGAGATTTACCGCTTTCATTTGGGGTCAAATGTATATGTAAAGAAGAAGCAGCTTTCGAAGCGGGTGTACAAATTCGGTAGTGATTGTGAGAGGTCCAGAAGTTGTTCCCATGGTATAGACAACTGGAATATCATCGGAATTGTGATTTATTCTAACTTCTTAGTGTTGGAGTGATGCTGTTCCATTTTACTTACACGCTATCCATGTAAAAAAACGATCTGCTGATTTGTTAAACCAGTTGCATCACGTGACAAAACCTTAGTTCACAGTGGGAATTGGCATAAGGCTAAGAAATGCTACCTCATCATGAAACCGAGTTAGGCGATTTCGCACTTAAGTGAACATGTGTATCCACCGACACGCGTCATAGTTAAACATTATGCTTGGACATGCTATTTTCACCTAAAACTGGCGTGGGATTTGATGAACATTGGCTTTTTCACTGTAAGAAATTATTTTCCAAATGTTCGGCGCAATGGAGTAGCCCCATCAAAATAAAACGATTGTTCGGTGGGTAAGGTTGAAGTTGGCTGCAACTAATTCCCTTAAAATGCCTCCAATTTCCACTGCTACTCTCTGACAAATACTTGTTTTCCGGTCTGTCTTATGATGCCTTGGGAAGTTCAGGGCCTGAACCAACTACCGTTGTTTGTACAGCTCCGGTCTCAAGAACCTGATTGAAACAGCTTAGGTTGTGGTTAGCGGGTGTTTCTTGAGCCTTTCAGAGTGTCGTTTCTGGATAGCAAAAGTGACTTTCTATATAAATATATATCTATATATATCTCGGGAGACATATGGATGGTAGCCACGTTTCATCAACGGAGCCGGTCCTCACACCTTCAAAATGCACAGCAGCAGCATTCCTGTCTACCTATGATGGGAATCACGCGTACCAGGTGTATTCCACTCCACACTGGATGGAGCCACATTTTGTGTCTAGCACGGTCACTAGGACCGTGCACTTTGTCCCCTAGCAAAGAATAGCAGTCTCCTGTAGCCAGTATAATCGTGTTCGCGGTTTTTCGGCAGGCAGGCACATTGTGAACATTCACATGAAGCGCAGTAACACTAGGGATATCAATTAAGAACCAACACTTGAAATGCGAGAAACCCAACGATATAAAATTGCATCCATGTGCCGGGCAACTCGGGTATACGGCCAGGCGCTTGTTCGAATAGATTGCTGAAAACTACCTTGCATCGCTAGGAAAAGCATTGTGAGGAACATCAATACTTCAGTTCTTGAACATGTGGTTGGAACGAGATACCAACTTCAGGCAAATAAATCATTCCAGGTCATTCACATCATCCCTGATCTAAGCGCCAATGGGCTTAAGAAAAGCATGTCAAATACGGCTGAAGCCATTGTAATCAGATTATTGAATCCAGAACTATGGTGCAAGTCGGTACCCTATCTTGGCCACGAACATATTCCAGGGAAACTTCTTCATCTAGATGGGAAGTTTAACAGTTGTACCAACTTCCTCCGCATCAAGCTATGAGGTGCCGCTCGTATTCTTCACATTCCCATTCGTCATGGCAGCCATTCAGTAGGTCCGGATAATTAGTATCCATGACGAATAACCACCATCACTAGGGCTCGGTAAATCTAGTAGCTCTCTCGTAAAGGACAATCTTGCGTTTGGGCCTTTTAAGCTTCTGACGTGGTGTTCCCAGTTAGTTTGGACAATAGTGTCATCGCAACTCCGAAGAAGGCGGCTTACTAATGTTAAGGACCTGTTTTTACTTTAGGTCAAGACTTATGCTGTTACATGCGTGGGTGTTGGGTTTACCGGGTGCACACTTTGTTGTTCCGTTGAGGGCTTAGTCCTCAGCGTTTCGTAGGTAGCGCGTTCCTCGAATAAACGCTTGTGGGAATAGGACGAACGAACCGATTACCAAGTCAGACTACCACGCGTTCATTCAACACAGAGAGTCAGTGGGATACACGAGGTTAAATCTTCACCTCTTCCCAGAAATACAAGCAAGTCAGAAGCATTGGTCAGTTACTTCCCCGAAAGTTCCACAGATGGTGTGCTATCTAATCAAGTAACAAAACATCTACAGTCAAACACCCAGCTCAGTAACAACCTAGGCCCCCATCATTCACTTTGCGAAGCACGTATTCATAGCAATAAATACCCAGTTAATGCATTCTCCTAAAAGGTAGTCATGCAGTACTTTTACGGGGATGCGGGAGGTGCCGGATTGAGTCTAATTGCTACGATTCTTAAGGAATAAGTATTTGTCTTTTGAAGGTAGCGATTGTGCTCACCAATTGCAGTATTGCACTTCTTACCAAACCTCCCTTGAATGCAAAAGTCTATCAAGTACCATCGGAATTGTGGAGTATGACGCCTGAATGCTAGGTGCAGCAACGCACCTACAAATAGCGTTGCTCTACTGCTTACACAAGCTTCAGTTATCAGTGACCAAAGCTTATGACCGCGAAAAGGCGAGGTTCTCTCTTTATAAGGCAAACAATTGTAGGTTATTCATAGGATAGTCATATTTTATACCTTAAACAACTTGAAATAAGTAAGAATATCCGTAGCTCGGGGTATGGATGCGGATTTTGAGCGGTTCTCCGAGCTCAGTGATTGTCTGGCTAGGCAACATCATCAGTGCACTGATGATGTTGCCTAGCCAGGCAACGAAACGTCTGCACAATAATCACTCATCTCGGAGAACCGCTCAAAATCCGCACCTTAAACAACCACCGATGTAAGAATGGGCTTGCTAAAACGCCAATTTGACACACAGCGCTCCGCACATAGTGATATTATGCGAACTGTGGTAGTAAGTTATCAAGAATTTCGGTTTGACTTTAGCTAAAGCATTACATCGAGAATTGATGAATTAAGATAGCAGGAACTTTGGGAGATCTCTTTCGTACACTTATGGTGAAGGCACTAATGATTACATGGTCGGTGAAATGACAGGGAAGAAAATTTCACTTCAACAAAGTACTCTGCTCTCGTTTCACTAATGGGCCTAAAAGTGACTTCATCCACTGAACTGGACAGAAATGGTTATTTTTATGTGATCAATTAACAAAATCGTTGGAACGTAGAAGGACTGTCTGGTAGTCCGATTGATGAGCGCGTGTCTACCAATTTATGCTAGCTTCCTTCGCCTTCGATCCGCACGTAAATTAATGTTTTCTCAAAGGTTCCAGAATATTTATTGCTTTTATTCTGTTGCCCGTTAGGTACACACTATTAAATGATTAATGGAATTGGATGCGTTATAGCAATACAGATATTTTTACTATTTGTCTTCGGATTGTTGTCTAGATTAGCTTAAAATTACAGTTCCAGTATTATCTATGGAATTTAGCGACACGATCGTCTGAAAAGTATAAGCGTCTGTGTGATTCAACACACCTATGAGCCTTTTCGGAACTGGACGCTTCCAAGCCGCTCGCTGAAGGCACACTTGACGCACATTCAAGATTTTCCTGATTCTAGCTCATTGTCCTGCTTTATTTCCAGCTCAGAGCCCTTTAAGAAAGGCTTGTCCATCATAATTGCTCATGTTCTGTTGTTTATATATGGTCGGCCAACTATCCGCCTTTTGAAGGTCTAACGGATAGACGACTGCGTTATAGGGTGATACAAGGTGCAGTCCAGTTATCAGATATTTCAACCAGTTTTGTCAATTGTTATCTGAAATGACGAGATAAACAGTGACCGAGATCTGACGGCGGCCAAAGAAGTGGGAATTTTATGATCCCATGGCTCACCAAACAATATTTTTGTTAGACTTCCACAGCGAGTTTTGAAAGTGAATAAGAAGTGGAAGGCTCTCGGATGCGTTCCAATTTCGTGTTGATCATTGGATACATATTGAGCTAACGAGTTTCTTGAGTGGAGGGATAACCAATGGGTAACGGAAACAGACGACTTGCTCACCTAGTCCTTTTCTAAGTCATGGCTATGAAAGTCACAAAACTAGTTTTTACCTGCTCAGAAGCATTCAAATGGTTGAGCAAACGTTACAACGATAGCTCGGGTCGATCACTCATCGAGTAGTCTGTGCACACCGTAGGTGGCTGTGAGTATATTTGTCAATGTGACTGGTACGATACCCCACAACATGAGACGGTGTCTCACAGAGGACTGGGCAGAAGAGTTTTGGTCATCAACAATTGTTGCTTCAACCAGCTGTCCACCAACCATTCAACTTATTGCCTCATTGCTACGACGGCAACCACCAGGTGCACAAAAATGCATAATAACCTGTTAATTTCGGAACGAAGAGCGACGCGCAGAAGTACGAGCTTAATAACATTTTTACAGCAAAATCGCAATTTGCACCAGACATATTCCCAGAGCTGAGCATGAGTACATTCGGTTCACCTTCTTATTTTCCATATTCAACCTGAAGTTGGATCGGTTAACCTCGCTTAGATAGGTCACCGAAGTACCAAGTACTGCTTAATTTTACAAAGGATGTGGCCTATTTGGGGCTCAGTAATCATATTCTAAATGTTCAAAA